CTGAGCTGGTGAAGTAGACAGTTAGCTATTTAGACTTCCATAAGCAGAGCATGAGATTAAAGATGAATAACTTTTTTGGCTGAACATGGAGGACAAAAACTATCTTCAGCACATTCCTCAGTCAGAAAGATCATTATTTTGCTTCATAATTTTTCATTTTCTGTATAAAATGGCAGCTCTGATCCCCAGTTCAACAGGGTGCTTGCTCAAAATAGTAGTGACAGACCGGCACTGGTTGCTCAGGCCTATAAACCTAAACACTCAAGAGGTCTGACGATTGGGATCAGAAGCTAGCCTGGGCAGGAGAGTCTGTGAGACTCTTACATCCAATTAACCATAGAAAAGGCAAAAGTGGAGCTGTGTTTCAAGTGATAGAGCACCAGCCTTAAGCATAAAAGCTCAAGTACAGTAAAGAGGCCCTGAGTTCAAGCCCCAGGAACAGAACAAAAATATAACAAAAAATAGTATTGAGTAAAGTCCACAATTCCGTATTTGGTCTTTCAGATTGATAATATAGATGTCACAGTCTAAGTCCAGAACAAAAATGTAACAAAAAATAGTATTGAGTAAAGTCCACAATTCCGTATTTGGTTTTTCAGATTCATAATATGGATGTCACAGTCTAAGTAAATTGTAAGTCCAAAAATATGGAAAACATTGGGGTGAAATATAATCTTCCCCAATATACGTGAGTCTAATTCAGTTCTTTTATGTTTCAAGACACCTGGTGGATGTCTGAAACTGCACTCAGCACTAATGTACTTTACTATCTTTTCCATCTCAACTAAGTCCTTTGCCTGTATTGCATGCAATTTGGGATGTGACGGAAAAAGTAGCACAATCTCTTTCAAAATTTCATAGGTAGAAGATAAGTTTCAGCAACCGCAGTATATTTTTTTCTTCCTGTATTAAGAACTCTTAATAACACTCTCTTTCCACTTACAGGGGACACCTAGCTTTTCTGTTGCATATCTGAATTTTTATACCATGACTCTCATGTTTGGAGGGCATTATTCGGGAATGGTAATTTCCCAAATAATACCCAGGTAATCCCTGGGAGCATGTATAGTATAGACATGCTGAACCATGGGATGGTTCATGTCCCAGACGGGCTGGATAAGGATGGCATGAGATTTCATCAAGCTAACTCAAATGAAAAGCAATCATCAATTCATGAGGGTTTTTAAATTTTTTTATTTAAAATATTTGGACCGCTGTTAGTTGCAGGTAAGTATTTCAGAAGTGGAGACCTAAGTCCCTAACTTGAGTTGTTACTTCTTACTAAACATACTACACTATGTATACATTTATCACCAGTATATTACTTGAGACTGATTTTTAAATCCATCTGATTTGTCTTTTATGTACATCTTGTGCCACTGTGTTGTCAACTATTTGTATATGTAAAAACATACTTAATTAGCCAGTTTTTATTACAATTCAATATTATAGAAATATTCATATTGACCTACAATCTTTATTTTTGCAATAATTTATGTGAAAATGATAAAATACACTTATATAGTGTAACTTTTTTTTTTGTTGGTCATGGGACTTGAATTCTGGGCCTTGTGCTGTCCCTCAGCTCTTCAGCTCAAGGCAAGCAATTTACCACTTGATCCACAGCACCACTTCCAGTTTTCTGGTGGATTACTGGAGATAAGAGCCTCATGGACTTTCCTGCCCAGGCTGGCCTTGAACTGCTATCTTCAGATCTCAGCCTCATGAATAGCTAAGATTACAGGAGTGAGCCACCAGTGTCCAGCTACTATATATAACTATAAAGAAACATTTCTATCATCTGCTATCCTATAGAAATGATATGATTTTATCACTGATATTTAAATAAATTTATATAATTTAAGATAAGAAGGGTGATGAATACAGTTATAATATTTAACCAGAGGGGAGGGTAAGGTTAGGGAGATGGAAGAATCAGCCAGCAAAGCACTGTAACATTATAGTAATCTCTCAGTATCTGAGGGAATTAGCTTTAGCATGACCCATTGTTCAAAATCTGAAAGGCTGGATTCTATCGTGTAAAATGGGGGTGTATTTGAATATATCCAACATATATCTTTCCATATATAAAGTAAACATATATAAACAGTTGCTATGCTGCATAGGGAATAATAATTAAAAGATGAAAACATTTATAAATGTTCAGTATAATTACAATTTTAATTTTCTTTTATTTTTATTCATAATTGAGTGAACTATATACATGGAATCTACAAATGCATACCCACAGATATGGAAGATGGTGTATGTCCCTTTGCTGTGGCTGATCAATACATCTGACACATATTCTGTTGTATTTGACGGATAGGTACTCACAATGATACTTTCTTCATTCAGTCATCTAAATGGTATAAATCACAGTGATGGGGGCTGGGAAGGTGGCTCAGTGGTAGAGCGCTTGCCTTGCATGCATGAGGCTGTGGGTTCGATTCCTCAGCACCAGATAAGCAAAAAGGAAAAAGCCGGAAGTGGCACTGTGGCTCAAGTGGTAGAGCGCTAGCCTTGGGCTGAAGAGCTGAGGGACAGCGCCCAGGCCCAGAGTTCAGGCCCCACAACAGGACCCAAAAAACAAAAAACTACACAGTGATGACTCTAGTTTGTGTCAACTCCATGGCACAAACAAAAGTGCTCAGTGAACTGAGCTATTCAGTTAGCTTTTTGTTTTGTTTTGTTTTGTTTTTTCCTACTACTGGTGTTTGAATTCAAACTCTTGTGCTTACAAGGCAAGTAATCTACTCCTGACCCACATCCTCATCCTATGGGTTTCTTTTAGTCATGGACAATAAACCCAGACCTCTAAGCAAGTGCTATACTTCTTGAGCTATGCTCCCAGCCTCCAACTGAAGATTTAACTCTTTCTTTACCGAACTCCATTTCTTTACCTTTTAACAGAAACATGTTTCAGTGATTTCAATTATCTTATCTAAGGTATGAATTTTCTTTTTAATATGGTGGCACATTCTTGTAACCCAATATTTAGAAAGCTTGAGGCAGGAGGATCTTGCTTTCTGAGGGCAACTTGGAGTACATTATATATATATATATATATATATATATATATATATATATATATACACATATATATATATATATATGGAGTTCATTATATATACATATATATATACACACACTATGTATATATGTAAAAACTTTCTATTTAAAGTTTGTTTTCAGATATAATTTCTCTTCCTAAATGTTCTGCATCTGTGTACAATCTCTTTTGTGTCAATGGACGGTAAAAACAGAGGGAAAGGGAAAAGAGATGCTATCGCCAAAAATTTTTTTTAAAATCATTCTAAGGCTGTCAGAATGGCTAAATTACAGATTTTTTGATGAGCTTTTTCTTGCTTTTTTTGGAAGAAATTAATTTAATAAATGTATTTTAAACAAGTTACATCATGCTATTAATTATACCCATTTTAAACTTTCTTGAAATAGCTTTAAAAAATTAAGATTATAGTAATTTTGCTTCAATGAGAGTCTCAGTGATTCAGGTCATTAGATTCAAAATACAAATTTCATTTAAACTTTACTACAAAAATAATCAATGCATTTCTATAGTTTCATTAAGAAAGCCATGCTCATACTGAATCAACAGCCAACCAACTCTTCTTTTTCTCTTGCTTAATTTATTCAAAAATTGTATTTATTTTCCCCTTGAATAATAATTTGTGAACAGAACATTTTTGGAACAGTTTTCTACCTTGATTATTGATTATTTATTTTTTGCTACTAAACTTCATTTTTTAGAATGCCTAGGAGTCTCTTGGTCAGATGACCTGGAAGACAGGAAGTTCACATGAAAGGGGGATGTCTAGGAAAAACAAACCATGAGACAGGGGTGTGACAAATAAAAAGAAATAGGTTCATCACACTATTCTTAATTTCATGTCCCACCAAATATTGATCATGTATATTTTTAAACTTACATTTTTGAGTGGTCTAACTTGCTATATTTACTTGTTCTTGCTTTTCTATACTGTGTCAGAAAGTCAGAACTGTATCGAGAAAATACTACTATAATGTGAATAACATGATGAATTTGAATTAAAATTTACTTGGCCTAATAAATTTCATTCCAATGAAATCTAAATACAAATGAGCATATCCGTTAGTGAAGTTTAATGACAGATTTTTATTTTTACAGAGAATTTAGTGGTCATTTGTTTACTATTATTTTTCTATTTTACTTGAATTTCTTTTTTAAAAGTTAAGAATTATGCCTGTGTATAATAGTATATAATAACATTGGAGTATACACTGTTTCCTGTAGGCAAAAACAAATTAGAATATAAGAAACTTTTTTTTCTTTTGTTTTCTGGTACTCAGGGCCACTCTGTTCTCCCTTAGTTTTTTCACTTAAGGCTGGCACTTGACCATTTTTGCTAGGCCTTTAACTGGGATCCTCAGATTTCAACTTCCTCAGTAGCTAAGGTTATAGGCATGAGTCACCGTATATGCATAGGCAATGCTACTTTAGAGAAAACAAGGATAATCTATCCATGTGTCATAGGATGGAATGTCATAAAGCATGATGTAGGGGTCTGCACTGTACATACATTTAAACGTTTTATATATGGAAATTTCAGTGTGACAAACTTTTATCAGTTGTTTCTCAAATATCATGATCAGCTCACCCATATTTAATGGAATGCTATTAGTCTGTCCAGTAATCCAATTTCTTGTCCATCCTCCAGTATATTCCCTCATATTTATGTTGTCTGGCATCAGCATCCCAGCACTTACCTATTAACTTATAGATGTACTTTAATACCTAACAGAGATTTACTGCACACTTGAAGAAGACAATGTGAGATTAAATTTCTTCATTATACTCTCCAGAAAATGGACCATGTTAACATTCATGTTTTAAATATAAACTTGAAGGCCACAGAAAACAAAATTACTCAGGCTATGCAATACAGGTCAGAAGTACAAGACTGGAAAGGAATTGTGCACAAAGTTTGATAGCTACTTACCTTGAGGCAGTGATTGGACAGGAAGGGCTGCCTGGCCAGGTGGAATGGAGATGAGTCCCTGCCGCTGTAGGCTCAGCAGGTGCTGCTGCTGCTGCAATTGTTGCATCTGGATGAGCTGCTGCTGGAAGACAAGCTGCTGTGCTGCCAACTGCTGCTGCTGCTGCTGTTGCTGCTGCTGCTGGTATTGGACATAAAAAAACAAAACCCCAAGCCAGTCAAAGCAGAGATCATGGGCCCCATAAACCCACCACTCTTATACAGAGAAATATACACTCCATCCATTCCTTATGAGTTTCTGGTCCACCTATAGTCAAAGTTCTGGGGCAGAAATGTGAGCAAGTTCTACATGTTCAGTTGCCATTTTTTTTTCTCAAATAGTAAATAGTGACAAGGAACCATGGAATTTGCACTAAGGGTACACAACAATCTCTGAAGAGCATATATAACAGATTCACATTTTAAAAATCAGTGTATAGCAGATAATGATAAAAAGTGTTTGGACAAAAAGAATATCACGTTCTAGGAACTTCCAACTTCCATCATATTCTCTTTGTTTTGTTTCCCATTGAACAAGTCTAATCTGCAGAGGTCCATGCATGTGGTCTCTGGTGATCTATTAGTAAACTGGGAAGTAGCCTTCACAGGACAGCCCTGTTAGCTCTCTCTCTTCCCTCACCACTCTTGTTGGAATATATTAAAGGCAAAATTATGTGCCAGGCAAAAAAAAAGTGCCTTATTATAAAGAAAAGAATAACTTCCAATTTTGTGAGGCATTACAAGATGAACCAGAGTTCTTTGGACTCGGGAGGGTAGAAGATGGCAGTCACACTTCAAAGGAGGACAAGCTGTTGTGGAAGACCTTTTCTTTTTAGTTTGGGGAGAAGAGAAACTTCTGATGCGCTCACTGGAAAACAGACTGCATAATGGAGCAAGTCATGTGGATTGCCCAAAGCCTCCGGAGAAATAAGGGAGTGATTTCTATTCTGTAGTTGATGGCTGTCTGAAATTCTATTCACAAATCCAAACAGAAACAAAGCCTCAGGAGGTCAGAACTGTTTCCTGTACGTTTGCATAATGGGCGGCTTGAAGACAACAGCTCTGATACCTGCTGATCAATTTAACTACTTCAACATGTTTTGTTTGTGTTATGTTTATATTTGATGCTGTTTGCTGACAAGTGCAAGCTAGGCCCGAGAAGCCAGCTTGTCAGTTTGATTTATGAGCATATCAAACTGTAAGTTTCCACTCGCCACTCCAAAGCTACAGAGCAGTTCATTAATCAGGGGCCTGTGACTTTGAAATCTGTTCTCAACCTGTGTCTCCCTTCGTTTCTCCCTTCCCCCTAATAATGGGATATATTTGCATGCATGTTCTCTCAGCTGTACCACTGAGGAAAAAAAATTTAAAAAAAAAGATTCCCTCACCAACTTAGCTTCTCTGTGAATACAAGATAATCAGTACTTTGTCCACCACATGGCTAGCTCTTTGTAGCCTGTGATTCATTAGTGACTATTAGAAGAGCAGCACTGGATTGTGGCTCTTAAGTCCCATGCTACAAAAGAGGCATGCAGGAGAGCTTCCTTGTCACTGTTATTAAGCTCAGCAAAAATATATAACACTGCAACTTTGACAAGCAGGAGCCTTGTTACAGGAAGACCTTAGACAATCCCTGACTCTCAAAGTCCCTTGCCAGCTCATATGATTATACACCAGTGAGACGACTGGATCCTACCTCTTTTGCTTGCTTTCCAGGATGTGGCGGCGGCGGGGGTGGCTGTTGCTGCTGCTGCTGCTGCTGCTGCTGCTGCTGCTGTTGCTGCTGCTGTTGCTGCTGCTGCTGTTGCTGCTGCTGCTGTTGCTGCTGCTGCTGCTGCAAAAGCTGAAGATGTAACTGCTCTTGCTGTTTCTTGTAAAACTCTTGTAGTTGTTGCTGAATAAACCATTTTGACTTTAATAAATAAAGGCAAAAGTTTCATGTATTATAAATCTCCTAAACTCTGCTAGACTGGCACATGGTAGAGGAGCCATATGATCCACCTCACCAAAAGAGAAAGAGTCAGAACTACCTACAACTCCCTTCCTCCCACTGCCACACTGCCCCTCCCACCAAAGCAGGTCTGACATTTGCCAGTCCAGAAGTTAAAAATTACGAAACAATTTGAAAAGTGTATGTTGGGAGGTCAAGGGCAGAGGGATGGATGGCTGAAGAGAGAAGGGCAAGGTGGGAGAATCTTAAAAAATTGAGGGGAGGGGTTGTTTTTGGGAGGGATGGGTAAGAATGACAAAAGGGGTGACATTAATCATGATGCATAGTACTTATGCATAGTACTGGTTTGTGGAATGGTATAACCCTTTTGTATTACCACTTAAAGATAATAAAAAACATAAACAAAAGGTGTTGTAGAAAGCTTTATCCTAAAAAGTCAGAGCCAATAAATACTTTATTCCTTCATTTGAAGTTCTATTGGCACAGAAAAATAACATGCGTTTGGATAAAATGTTTGTTCCATAAAACCAGGTGGTTCAGTATTTTTTAGAAAAATAATTTAATCCATCAAACTTTGAAATATAATTATCTAGCTTATAAGCATCATCAAAGAGGATAGCAAAATATGTAACCCTGTAAGAAGTCAGGTAAAGTATAATGTATTTTCAATGACAAGTAAGAATATAATATGAAGCCAACTTTAGATACATTCAAAGCTCTGATAAGTTCCTATGAAAACAATATGTTTATTATTCAACAAAGATGTTTCATGGATTTGTGGCTTAGTCATCTAACTTTAGGTTAAGATAAATTCTTCCTTCCTTAAATAATCAGAACATTTTGGAAAAGAAAATGTAGGATATTTTTCTCATGTTAACAAAGTGATCACTTCACTATAACCCATTTGACCATCACCTTTATAATAATTTTTAAATAGGTAAAATTAAAAAAAAACAAAGTGGTCATTTTGCATTTTCTATTTATATGAACTCAAAGCAGTGCTAAAGTGATAAGCATTTTAAAAGGAAGAACTAAGTGGCCAGTATGGTTATACTTTTATTGACAAGCATACAAATCAAATGTACCTGAGAATTTGAATATTAACATACTGCTTTGTTCCACTTTCAAACTACACCTCTCCCTGTTGACTCTGAACTTACTACCTGACTTAATAGAAGACTCAGAAACTTAAATTTCCTTATGTAGCATAATTAAAATGTTTATAATGTTCCAACATGCTGGCGGGTGGCAACAGTGTGCATGTGCTGGGCCATGCTAGAACACCAAAGCAGGTAACCCACATTACCTGCTGCAGCATGACTGCCTGCTGCTGCTGGAGGAGGGCTTGGAGCTGCTGAGGAGACAGGACTTGCTGCTGCAGGATCTGCTGCATCTGCTGAGGGGTGATCACCTGGGGTGTCATCATGGCCACAGACACAGGCACCTTTGCCAGGGAGAAAAAGAAAGAGACATTGTAAGCAATACTCAGTCAACTTCATAACTGTACTACATCTCTCTTAAGTTCTTCAGCATGTTACACAGGACAGCATTTAACTACTTAACAATCATGTGAAAGTAGCATATTACTTATAGCTTTCCAGAGGCATTGGATTTCATCAGACTCCAAGTATATGTACCACACTTTTTGTGCATTAGGCGAAGTGTTTGTGCATTGGCTAATGTGGTTAAAGATTAACAATTTCATTTCAGTGTTCTCGGAATTGCATTACTGATCATCTTATCAAAACTGCTGAAAGTGAAAGCCTTTTGAAATGTTTTAAGGTTATAATTTCAAATGAATAATATGAATTGAACAACTGTAAATAATATAAATATATGAATAACTATCTGCTATCTTAACCAGTTAAAACGTATGTGTAGAATTTAGTTAAATAATACACCACCATCTTCAAAAAATTTGTAGCTGGATATATTAGAAAATATGTGTGGAAACAAAGGTTAACACATGAGCACCTGCAATAATTCATATAGATGGCTTGAGTCCATAAATATATAGACAGAAATAGCTACCTATCTATTTTTGAAGGAAAGAATAATAATTGTAGTATTCTAGTTTCTTCTTGAACTGTTTTGATTTTTAATAACTTATACCAGAAAGTTCAGAAACATAAGCTAACACAAAGGTTAATCAGTAAATTAAAGAAAAAAATGTTTTTTAATTGCCTTTCTTATTTTCTTTAGCTAAAAGTTTTAAGAGTGAAAGAGGCAAAGAGTAAAAAAGGTGGGCTGGAAAGAAAAAAAAAATATCAAAACACAGAATAAGGAAAACTATGGGAGAACAAACTAGAAAGAGAAAGGCTATGAAGAAGTAGAAGGATGCCAGAGCAAAGGCACAGAAAAGCCTGAAGAGCAAATCCATTCAGTTCAAGCAATACTTAAGGCACGGTCACACTAAGCAGCATGTAATAACAAAACTTAGGCACTCACCAAGTTTGCAACCTTTGAAAAATTAGGAAACACAATTTACTGTTACTATTTATGTACATAACTACTTTAGAAAAATTATGAGATAAAATAAATGTGCCTTTGTAAATAGAAAAATATTAAGAGATATGGTTCATACTTTATCTCAACTGCTGTTTTAAATGCAGTTCAAAATTTTCTAGTTTGGCACTTATAAAGAAATAAGAAATTAATAATGGAAAAGAGAAAAAAGGAAAGAAGGAAGGAAGGAAGGCAGGAAAAAAGGAAGGAAGGGAGAGAAGGAAGGAGGGAGAGAAGGAGAGAGGAAGGCAAGCAAGCAAGTAAAGGGTAGATTACTTCTTGTCCCTCAAAACAAAACAAAATAAAAGTCTTCATATTTAACACTGAGAAAAAATGATCTTTCCCCCATGTTTACCAGTTGAAATGCAGATCATGTCAGTCTAATTTTGTTACATAAGAAAGAAGTGTATGACAGAAAATAACTCAATGATTTAAAAACTATTCGTTTTATCTAAGATATAATGAAAATACAAGTTATTATATTTTAATTGATCTTAATAAAAAGTAATCTGAAATGTGTGTTCTCAAATGAGCTGGGTATGATGGCTCATATTTGTAGTCTTTGCTTTTGAGAAGGTCGGGACAAGGATTGCCACACAACAGGACACATTTTTCTGTAAAAACAACAAATCAGCAGCAAAATGATGGCAGTTTACTTAAAATGTGTTATCTGATAAAGAATGATTAGGTAGTTTACAAAAATGCGCTTATCTAGAAAATGCCTCTTCCTCAAAGCAGATACACTGAAAACATTACAGGATGGAATAGGAGAAATTCTAGGGCTCCTTGGCACAGGCCGAAATTTTCTTAATAAAGACCCAGAAACACAACAAATCAAAGAAAGGTTGGACACATGGGATTGCATGAATCTTCAGCACTTCTGCATGGCAAAGGACATAGCTAGCAAGATCAACAGAAAGCCCACGGATTGGGAGAAGATCTTCACTAGCCATACAATGGACAAGGGTCTTATATCTAAAATATACTTGGAACTCAAAAACTTAAATCCCCCAACAACAAATCCTCAAAGAAACAACTGCCCGATAAATAAGTGGGCTAAAGACTTACAGAGAATCTTCTCTGAAGAGGAAAGAAGGATGGCCAATAGACACATGAAGAAATGCTCAACCTCCCTAGCCATAAAAGAGATACCACCTCACCCCAATTAGAATGGCTATAATCAAGAAATCTAATAACAACAGATGCTGGAGGGGATGTGGACAGAAGGGAATCCTACTGCATTGTTGGTGGGAGTGTAAACTTGTTCAACCACTTTGGAAAGCAGTATGGAGGTTCCTCAAAAGACTCAAGATAGAGCTCCCCTATGACCCAGCAATCCCACTTTTGGGCATTTGCCCAGCCCATCACAAACAAGGCTATACTAAAGTTACCAGCGCAAGTATGTTTGTTGTAGGATTATTCACCATAGCTAAGATATGGAACCAACCCAGATGCCCCTCAGTAGATGAATGGATCAAGAAAATGTGGTATATATACATATACATACACACATATATACACACACACACAAACACACACACACACAAACACACACAAAATGGAATTCTATGCCTCCGTCAGAAAGAATGACATTGCCCCATTTGCTAGGAAATGGAAATGGCAAAAATAGGCCCAAAGAAACTTAGGTCTCATGGTTTCCCTTATTTGTGATAACTAGTGTATGTCTAGAAGCAGAAAATGTTAAGAGCTATGTACATATGACCATACAAGATGATGCTAAGTGAAATGAACCCCAAGATAGGGACACAAGTGGTTTTGTCTTTCTTGCTATTGTTTTTAATGTATTTATAATGTACTATGTGATTTTTAAAAAATTTCTTTGGTATGTTCTTCTCCCAAGGTATAACCCCTGTTTTCACTGTATTTGACTCCAGTGCCCTGCATCTTGTATTTACATTTTTCTAATTTGGGGAGGGGAAGGAAAATAACAAAAGACTTAAATAAAGATACAGGTTGACCCATTGTAACAATGAGATGTACAAGACACTATGTTGAAAACGAACTTTACAACTTTGGCTGGGGCAGGGTTGGGAGGAGTTGGGGAGGTGGGGAGGGAAGGGATGGTAGGGGAAAAACAAAGGAGGAGGTAACAATGCTCTGTAGGAAATGTACTCATTACCTCACTCATGTAACTGTAACCCTTCTGTACAGTATTTTTACAATAAAAATATACATAAAAAAATGCCTCTTCCTCCAACATGTAGCATATATTCTCCTCAAATGATAATTTCAATAAAAATACAGAGAAAAACAAACATATTAAATTTCAGAAAAAGTGCCAATCTAGACAAAATAAAAGACAAATCTATACAGTAACTATACAATAATTATATATATATAAATATGCATCTATATAGTATATACAGAGATATATAGATATAGATAGATAGATACATAGATAGATACATAGATAGATATAGATATACATATCTTTAACCAAGTTTATCATTTGGTGAGAATCTTGGCATAAGTTTCAACTAACAGCCCCTTGTCATTTTTCGGTGTATGTGGTGTTTTCACTTATTTTTATGGCTATAAGTAAATGTATTTAATGGGAAATATTCACAAGTGAATTTCATAGGGAAAGTTCTATGAATGGAGGCATATATATATCTATCTATATAGTATCACTGTGGTTGGGTGATGTAATGACTGATTTGGGACTTGGTACATATCAGAGTTAATCAATTCTGTCTTTACATCCTTTAGAGTCCATTAAGCTTTTCACTATGTACTGCGGGTTACTTTAAATCTTAGAATGGCTTAGGAGTCCCTTGAAGGCTGTAGGTATGACATATATATGTTATGCACATATATGTACACATATATGTATGTTTATATATGATATATATGTGATATATATGTATATATAACTATCTCATGGCAATCCTAATACATATGTGTTCACATGCATATAATCATTTTCAACTTTTAAGAAGATTCTTGCCTTCTCTTTTGGAAATTCACAGCTAAGTGAACTTACTGTCCACTTAAATTCATATTAAGCCTATAGGTAGGAAAACACAGGTACACTTTAAGGGGATGTCCATCTACAGACAAGTCAACCCTTATCTAAATTCACCCATGTAAGCTCATCCACACATACACACAAAGCAATACTAAGACAAACACTATATAAATTATTTTAATACATGGAAACCAGTTTTCCCTCCAATAATCAATTATAATATTAATGCAGCCAGTTCTGCTAGCTTTGTTTAAAAGTTAGAAATTTTTGAATGCAGAATTTGTCCTTTACATGTGATAAATTTTATTTTATTTTATTTTGGTTGTCATGGGGCTTGAACTCTGGGCTTGAGTGCTGTCCCTGAGCTCTTCAACTACTGCTCTACCACTATGAATCACAGCACCACTTCGGGTTTTCTGGTGGTTTACTGGAGATAAGAATCTCACAGACTTTCTTGCTAGGACTGGCCTTGAACCATGATCCTCACATCTCAGCCTCCTCACTAGCTAGGATTACACATGTGAGCCCTGAGCTCTGGGCTCAAGTGACTAATTTTAAATGACTCCCTTTCTCTCTCCCTTCATCACTGCTATTACTGTGCATTGTTTTTCATTGCCACCACAAGCTCCTCTGGGAATTCACTGAGAAAAACGAAGAGAAGTTGAGTATACACAAACCTTTAGATAGTATACCATTTATCAATGTTTAAACAAACAAAGCATTTAAAAAATATATGGCCAACTTTCTGAAAGACACATAACTGACCAACTTCTGAACTGTATTTAAGAAAAAAATTAGCTGGATAATTTCATTTATGCAAATACTGTACTGAGAAACCCTTATTTAGATTTGTGTGTTTAGATTTGTAGAGGCAGGGAGGAAAAAGATACTTTCTAGCTTAGAAGGCAAGTAAGAATATGATGGGTCCCTCATCAACGAAGTCAGAAACA